TATATATATATATATATATATATATATATATATATATATATATACACATTCTCTTTTACTGGAAAAGAAAAATAGCTGAGATTTTTTTGTTACCATCCAAGATGGAGAAAATGAATCAAACTTTACCTGTTTACGGGTTTTATCTTCCATCTCAGATTAAAGGCTCTGCAAATTTCAGTCTGTGCGTGAGAGACATGATGCCCCTGGACGTGGCTGATCACTTCAGGGGTACAGTTAGCATTTGGGCATCAGTGACCAGCATTGATGGCAGCCGGCAAACCACATTTGATGATTCAACGGCGGTCCATAAACAACTGATTGACATCAAGTACTCTAAAGATACGCACAAACAGTTCAAGCCAGGTCTGCCTTACAAAGGGAAGGTGAGATTTTAAAGCGTGATGATTGGCACTATGGCTAAAATGATGTTAGTGTTGGACCCTGTTGGATTTTTCCCTCTCTCTTGTTCTCTCCTTATTTTAGATCGAGGTTACTTATCCAGATGGGAGCCCAGCTGATGGAGTGACAGTCCGTGTTAAGGCAGAGTTGACGCCCAAGGACAACATCTACACCAGTGAACTGGTTTCCAAGGATGGCAAAGTGTTGTTTGAAATCCCCTCCATCCCTATAGCTGCTCAGTATGTCTGGATTGAGGTCAGTTGCTTCCTATAAAAAGGACGAGTCATTGGGGGGGAAAAAATAGACATGTTTCTTTAATATTTTGTTATTTTTATTTAACAGACAGAAGTGATGTCTATTGATGGAAAGACAGTGGGAGACCAGTACTTGCCTAGCTACTTATCCATTAGCAGTTGGTACTCTCCAAGTAGGTGTCACATCCAGATCCAGAGTCCCAGCTCCCCTCTTAAGGTACGGTTTGCTTTATTTGTGTCTTTGACGGTTTATGTTGAATTCAGATTTTCTTTGGATTGGACCATTACAAATACACATTATTATCTGTGTTATTAATGCGGCAGTTCATTAGGATTTGATTTACCCTGTCTTCAAAGGTTGGCCAAGAGGCTGAAGTGGCTTTAAAATCTACCTGTCCCTGTAACTTCACTCTGCACTACGAGGTGGTTTCCAGGGGAAACATCGTCCTGTCAGGCAAAGAACCCGCCAACCTGACAGCATCACACAGAGGAAAAAGGGCCACGGTGACTTTTGATAAGAACGTTCATGCCACCCAGCTCCCTTCCTCTGCTTCTGGTAGTCTTTGTTTATGTTCTAAATTTGAAAGCTGCACTTATCTAATTTCTTAAATTAAAAGAAAAAAGATATATAAAAAAGGTTTTTGACTGATTCATCACAATAGGCTCACTTTTCTGTCACTGTCATATGTTGCAGGGGGTTTGTCCCAGGATGAGATGGAAACCTGTATGTCTTATCTTCGTTTTCCTGTTAGTCACACCATGGCGCCTCTCAGCCGTCTGCTGGTGTACTACGTCAGGGAAAACGGCGAGGGCGTAACAGACAGTCTGCAAATCTCTGTTTTGCCGGAGTTTGAGAACAAGGTCTGCTAGTATTATTGTTTGTACTGTGATATTATTGTTTGCCCAGTAAAAGTATTGTTGGTGTATGAATCATACATACTGAACCATTTTAGTTTGATCCTTTTACAAACCAGGACATAATGAAATAATCCACTCTATACAGGGTGAAATGTATAAAGGTTAAGTTGATAAAAAAAGATGCACCAGATTTTATAGTAGCAATACTTTAAAGAAGCCTTGCTTTGCATGCAATTATTAGTATCTCACATAGATATGAAGGAGCTTTGTCCCTTTTATGTTTGGTTTGAAAAAAAGCAAAGCTTTAGCTGTCAGATGGTCTCATATTTGGCTCTTGAGCATTTTGGTATACAGGCTGTCCAGATCATTTATTAGAGCAAGCCCAAAATCATCAACCCTCCACCCCTGTGTTTGACAGTTGGCATGAAGTGTTTGCGGTTATGTTCCGGTTTTGGCATGTTCCTTTCAAAATCTAACCCTTACTGATTTGCTCATTTTAAACCTCCTACCAGCAGCTTCCAAAACTAAGTGTGGCCTGTCGAATTGGAAATGGAGATTCTTTTACATCCACCTTATGGAAGATGTATTGGTAGCTGGCCTAAGGGTTTACAACCTGGCAATAATTTTGATCCTACTAGAATAATAATCTTCAAACTCTTTAGAAATTACATCTTCACAGACTAATTGGCAGGAGATTTTGCAATTTTTTAAATAATTGCTGGTGTTTTCTGCCATGCGTCACTGTAACACACACCCCTATGCTCAACATCGGCAAACTGCTGACACTCCTATTCTTGATAAAGTTGGTAGCAATGGCAATAATCAATTTGAACCAAAATCTATTGAACCAGGTACTTTTGACTGTATAATGTTGGTATTAACTAGCTTGTGGTTTGTATACATTATTTTTTTCAATTTTGGAATTTGTTTTTGTTAAGGACATTGTGCTGATGAAGGATTTCAACCATTTTTAAACTCTAATTTACAGAGGGTATATTTTGGTTTTACAATAACGGTAAACATAATAATCAGTGTGTTGGAAGATTCTGCTATAAAGAATGCAGGGGGATTTGTACAGTATTTAGCAAATGGTAAAAAAATGGGTGGAGTGAGTGTATACATTTTGGACTGGAGCCTAAATATCCATGCATCAGCCATTACACCAGTGTAATGTCAGTAAACAAACAGCTGCGTTGACCTAATGGCGCTTCCCAGTTCCTGCTTGAGTTAGGTGGAGTTAACTCCCTGAAGTATTTACAGCTCTCTGGTATGCCCTTACAACACTGCGTGGGTGGATGGGTGGTTGTTTGTGTATATTTGCGTGTGTTAGTATGCTGGAGGAGGGGGGTCACATGGATATGATGAGAAGACAACCGTGCAGGCCACAAGCAGATAAGTAAGGTCATGACATGAGTGGATGACAGGTGCCGATGGTAAATAGAGGGAAGCAGCTAAGAGATTAACAAGGCTAATTTGTGACTATGTGTGGGTGGGAAAATAGTGTTGATGTGTGAAAGTTTATGGCTGACCCTCTCCAGCCCGCCCTCCGTAAATTCCTGGCTTTTCCACTCCATGCTATGTTACGTCTAATTATATCTTCCTCCCTAAAATGTAATTACTGGTTCATTACTGATATATAGGCTAAAGAAAAAAATTGGATCAAAAGTTTTGAATGTAGTTTTGTTTTTACAATTGTTGGATTTTTATTTCTTGTTTTGCATAAGTCAGTTGTAGGTTCTTTGCTGTTTGTGTTGCAGCTCTCTGTTTCTTTTTCATCCAATGAGTCCATACCGGGAGATCCAGTGAGCCTGCACGTTCGGGGTGAGAGGGGCTCTTGCATTTGTTTGGCCACTGTGGATAAAAGTCTTTACTTGTTAAAGCCCAACTTCCAGCTTAGTCCCAACAAGGTCAGTTATTTTATGATTATTGTTCTAAATCTTTGTTATACTTTAACTTCATGTATACTTTGGAGTATCAGTGAAAACCTTATAACCTGAGTTGTATTTAAATATGCAAAAAATGTTTTCTATTCGCAGGTGTTCAAAGAGATGGCTGATTTCGATGTTTCAGACGTATTTGGTGTTGGTAAGGATGATGGACACATGTGGTGGCCTGGACTGTCCTCAAAGAGACGAAGACGTTCATCTGTGTTCCCCTGGCACTGGGACATCACTAAAGATGCACGCTTTGCTTTTACAGTAAGAACGCTGAGATGAAGTGCCCACAACAATGTTAAAAACTAAAAAGCTAGACTATATGATTTTCAAGTGTTTATTCTCCGGTTTTTAATAACAGGAAACAGGGCTGGTAGTGATGACAGATATGGTGAGCTTAAACCACCGGCAGAGCGGAGGGATGTACACTGATGAAGCTGTTCCAGCTTTTCAGCCACACACATCGACTGTAGTGACTGCGATTCATCCCCGACCCACAATAAGGTAGAACATGGTTTTGAGATTGTTGAACTGCCCTGGCGCTGTTTCCCTTGCAGACTTAGCCGAGCTTCTACTGCACTTTGCTCTCCTCTTGAGCTGCCTTGTCTCCTTGCTCTTTCATGTTGTCTGCCCAGGGAAATCCTCTGATCTATCGCTGTGGTTCCTTAGTTCCAGAGGGGGCACGGCTGGTCCATCGTCCTGGTTATGGTGCTCTCTCTCCCGTTCTCACACTATTTCCTCGCAGCTTCTGTCTGAGCTCAGAATGTTTCTGTCTGAGCTCAGAATGTTTCGCCTCACCTCTGTTATCTGAGTGATTCTTCCCCTCTATTCTTGGCACTCTGACCAAAACAAATATGAACCAAGCATAGGAGAAAGATGCATGTCTACTCGGAGAAAAACTCATCAACAGCACAAAGCTAAAGTTGATGGTCTTCAAAAGGATTGGCAGGTTGCCAATCGTGGTCAATTTTCAAGCACTGCTTATTAAGTGGTGCAAGTCTAATTTAACAGAAATATTTTTTTACCTTGATATTTCCCTGTAGGCATTTGGTGGTTTCCCTTTTTCTTGGTGTTTTGATATGAGGCTCTTGGGAAAATACACTAGAACTAGTTGCTGTAGATCAGCTTATTTGATTAATATCAGTGGTTCGTCACCAACCTTTTACTATGAGGCATTATGGGACGGTCGGGCTCGATCAGGCTCGATTAAGTAGCTGTGATCACAACCCTTTGGCTTTCTAGTAGTGCTGCGATACTGCTGGCAGATGACACAACGTCTGTTTATGTCTGCTCATCTCGCCAGTGCTGAAATTCTATTTAGTCTCAGAAAGAGCTATCAGCATTATCAGGACAGGGACTGGATGTTTATCTATATTTTATGATGATCAAAGGATTTTCAGTCTTTTTGTATTGGCATAGAACATGACTATGCCCCTTTAAAGCAGTTATGTAATTTTGAATAACTGTTCTGCCTGAATTATGTTAATGTGGCAGAGTTTGAATAGACTGTTTTGCACCAAAATTGCTTAAGTGGTTGCCTATCTCTCACTTACCCTTCTTACCAGGTTAAGCACCCATGAGCTAAAGAAAGCAATGAGAACAGAGGACTGCAAAACCACTGAAAATAAACTGTTATCATGAATTTCACTTTAAAATTTGTATGAATCAATTTGTTGTAGGACTGAAAAGCGGAGACGGACGTTTTTCCCCGAAACTTGGGTGTGGCGCTGCTTTAATGTCAGGTATGTCAATCTTTTAACTGTAAACATCTGAAAGTGTTTGTTCATTGTAATTATAGCTATGTCTTAACAAAGACAAACACTGAGAATAAAAGGCACTGCTAATGAGACACAGCAGAAACAAGAAAAAGGTACAACTGCAAAGATAATTTTAGAAATGTGCATTCATCAAGGGCATGATATTTAAGCTTTAAAGAAATCCTTTACACCTATTAAATGTATGCAAGAACATGCATTTCTCCTCGTGCACGCACTGTTTAAAAGTAGGTGCTTGCATCACCTTTACAAGCTTACTTTCCAAAAGAAAACTTTAAATTTTTCCATATGTCAGACACACCACTGGTAAGTAAAAATAGGGAAGAGCACGTAGGATGGCCTTATGTAAACGTATCCCCAGAATGATTAGGAGGACCACTTATTTTGATGATCCACCCGGTAAAAGAACATCTTCCACTATACCTTAAAGTTTAATGAATTTGTTTTCTGGTATAGACCAAGTTTTAGGTAATATTTGTGAATTCTCAGTATTGTTCATGTCAAATGTCAGTGAATGCCATTTCAGAAGCTAAGAGTTAGACTGATTTTTTTTTTTTTAACTATTGTTTTTATTTGTTATTGTCAGGAAGACTGTAGAGATGTTGATTGGAGGTGAAGTTGAAGAAGAATTTAGCTACTTTCTTCAATATTCCACCTATTTAATGCTGTGTTCTGCATGCTGCACAACAGCCTCACGGCATGATGCCGCCACTACCATGCTGTATAAACGGAGCACTGTTCTTCGGTTTTAAAGTCCAACCTTGAGTCCCTTAACAAACTTTTTGTTCTTGAAATTATAGCTTTGAATTTGGAGAATTAGGTGGTTGTCTTTTATTTAAATTTCTTTGATCCACATGCGGCGAAGAATATTTTCCACACAGCCGCACAGTGATATTAACACCACCTGCTTGACAATTTGTACAGTGTTTAGCATTTTAGAGCCATACCTGGACTCTTCTTCATATGCTTGTTATCATTGTGGCCAAATTGCTCAATCTTTGTTTTTGTTTTTTTTCTGAATATGCATTTGGCTTCTCTTATTTAGAGGGACCTATCAGTGTGGAATCTGATTTTGCTAAAAGGGTTTCTTTTACAGTCAGTACTCGCTCTACAGTATAAATCTCGTATAAGCCTCGTTCTGTATAGTTACATTGACCCATCTCCTAAATTGTATATGAGCAAAACCATATTCTTTTCCATGTGATACAATCCAGCACTATATCCTGAGGAGTATTTTCCTTATTTTTAGAGAAACTTCTTAAGTTGACTAAGCTCTGCACGGCCCTTTTTTATTTTGTATTCAGCTACAGAAAATTTCTAATATATCTTATGAAAAAATGGCCAATGGATTTCCACAGCTTTAAAGTGAACCGCATTCCTCTCTTATTTCCTGTAAACTTCAATCCTCCAAAAATGTTTTTTTGTTTTTTGGATTCTTGCCAATTTTGATCAAAAGCGGGAGTGTGATGCAGCCTTTTGAAGTTAAATATGTCATTGGGTTTCGCCAAGACCAACATGAAATACATGCTGCCAGGAATTACCTCAGGTTATTCCAGTCAGAGGAACAGATTAGGTCAACATCCAAGTGTCCCTCACAACCATGCGATTTGAAATGTTTGCTGTAGTTACATTAGTGGAGATGTTAGTGTTGACACAGGTGTTAGCAATGTAAAAATGTCCAATTAAATGCACTGTTATCAATCAAATGTGGCTTTTCATTGCCCGTGTTAACTGACTTCATTAATAATTTTAAAATGTTACAATTTCATGTTGTTGAACTGTTTCTCCTTGGGTCTTTTGCAGCTCTGAAACTGGGGAGGCTATCCTCCAGTTGGATGTCCCTGATTCAATCACCACATGGGTCACCGAAGCTGTCGGACTCTCCGAGAAGAAGGGTCTGGGTTTGGCAGAGAGGATAGAGCTTCGGACCTTTAAGCCCTTCTTCGTCGACTTCACGCTGCCTTACAGTTTAATCCGAGGGGAGCAGACCAAAGTACCTCTTACGGTCTACAACTACCTTCCCACTTGTTCTGAGGTAAAGATTGATGGTTCTTAATTAGACACTTTTGCACAGCGCACGATGCTGATTGGCTTTCACATGATGCAACTAGAATTATGCCAATAAATCTTTTTTTAGGTAGGTAAAAGCAGAGTGGATCATCCTCCATTTATGAATTTTTTCCTTAACGGCTCATTCGTCTAGTTTTTCCAAACAGGGAACTCAGAAAATATGTATGATAAGAACCTGAACTGTGCCATTAGGTCCACCACACCTCAACATCAACTGCTTTTAATTAGAAAGTAAGAGATCCCGAAGTAGTTAAAAGTATCGAATAGTAAACGATTCACTTAAAAAAAGTTAGTGTGTCTTCTCTGTGGTACTCTTTACTCCCAGTCAAAAGTAGCTCCATCGAAGATTTCAACTTATAAAAAAATAAATTATTATTTCAAGTTATTATTATGTAATTTTTTTTCTAATGTTTTATACCAAAAAGCATGTACACACCGTGTGCATGCAAAGTGGACCTTTAATGTATTTCAACATTTATGAAAATCTCTAGATAGTTGGAATGCACTTATACACAACAAAGAAATATTTTATTGAAATATCAACTTTAGAAATCAGGTTAGAAAATGGCTGTTATTGTTTCAATTGCATGTCAAAGAGAGGAGGTAAAAGCTACTACTATAAAAAGTAGCACTGGTAGAAAAAAAATTAAATCAGTTGCTGGCTGTATATTTAGAAATAACATTTGCCTTTTTAATATAAAAAAGCTATTTCATATTAAATAGGCAGGAAACTGATGCTCTAATCAGAAGAAAGGCAGATACAGCTCCTGCATAAGGGGATGCACAATTAAAAAAATCTATCTATTAATCTACTAATCTATTATTAAACCAACTAAATTAGATTTCAGAGAAATTACTCAACATTTTAATTGCTCCCTTATCAAGTCTTCCTTGATAAAAGGAAAGTAAAATAAGAAAACAAGCACAAAAACCAACAAACTGATGAGCTCCATTCCATAGCAGATAAATATTTCAGAAGAGGTATTTGAAATTCCTTAGGATTTTAAAATGCCAAGATGTGATTTTGGCTCCAAAATAGTTTGTAGCTCTCCCTTTGAAGAGCTGTTCAAGCTCCTTCCTGGCCTTAAATGGGTCCATCCTGCGCTCCATTCACATGACATCATGATTTGTGCAGATGAGCCTGTTAAATGATCTGTGCGTGTGCTGCCCTGATGTCATGTTTGGTGGATATACAAACCAGAATCACCCTTCTTTGATGTCCACCCCTGCAACATGTGATTCCTATATTTGCTTCTCAGTTATTTATGACTCGTGGCATGCAGATAAAGAACGGTTAAAAGACCCTGTTTGCTTTACCACACCCTGTGAAAACTGGACGACAAGCACCCTTAAATCCTTCAGGAAGGCTGAGAGGCCTTAAGTCAAGCAGCATGAAAATGGGCTTGACTTAATGTGATTTAAAAAAAAACAAAAACTTGATGCTTTGGGGAAACACGCAATATGGGGGAGATCAAACTAAGATGATATCATTTTTTGCCATAAGAGGTCAAGTAGTGCTTATTTGTCTTTTTCTCTCTTAGGTACATGTAAAAGTGTCAGTCCCAAAAGGCATCAAATTTATTGGCCATCCTGGAAAGCACCATCTTACCAGAAAGAAATGTGTGGCTCCTGGAGAGGCTATTCCAATATCTATTGTGTTGTCTTTCACTGAACTGGGATCTGCAAACATCACAGGTACTCCCAGCCGTGCAATGGAAATATATCTGGTAGACTCTTGTAAAGTTTGTGATAATTAAATGTGTGTACTATATCAAAGATGCATATAGTTACTTGATAAGGTCAGATTAACTTTTCCATACTGAAAATATCCATACTTTCTTGCAGTATTAAGTAAGCTCTTAGTTCTTGACAGACGTTGGCACAGCATCAGATCGACATTTCTGATCATGTAAATCAGATTATTCACGATTACATATCATAATCAGCTTATCAACAGGTGCCCAAAGTGTGAGTACCGATAAAAAAGGCAGCCTTTGACTAAGGACTGTGGGCCAAGGGGCTGCGCTGTGTGTGATCCGGTCACCCACACAGGTTACAAGCAGCCCCCTCCTGAGCGCATGTGAAAACAAAGTCAACCGGCAGTGAGGGAGAGTAACCAGAGCTGCACTATGACACTCAGTGGCATGTTGATGAGTTTTCAGGTCACAAGCAGTCAATGGGCCCCCCATGGGCCCACTCATAGTTCCCCTGTCTCCTGTGTTTCCTTTTCGCTACACACATACAAAGAAGCTCTGCCTGGCACTGTGCCACATGCCAATGTCCTCAACATGAAGAGAACTGGGTGTCCATCTGCAGAAATGTTTGACCCTACTACTCTCCCCAGATAATTAGGGATATGGCCTGTTCTGTGTATTGTTGTATTTGTTTTGGCTTCTGAAATCATTTCTCAGGTGTTGTATGTCTTTGTAGTTTAGATTAAGTATGACATGTGCATTTGAAGAGAGAATGTCATGCCTGTGCTGTGTAGTCAAAGTGAGACAGTCTCAGCTGCTCTTAAATGGTGCTTATTTAAGGCCGGCATCAATCCTTATTGGACAACTTTAATACCTCAAACTAGGACCTACAGTTCACCAAATTGCTGTTCACATGGATTACTAACAGCCAAGAGTAGTAATTATGCAGGACAAGAGGATGGTCCCAGCTAGCATATACTGTGTTTACAGAACTGTCTTGTTAAAGGTAAAAGAACAAACCTTTTTTTGTTATCAGAGACCAAGTCAAAATAAAATAAATCCTGAAAAAGAAGTCTACAGCCCTTTAGGATCCTGATTCATTCCCAAAAAAGCAGCATAAGCTAAGTGGTCCATACCCTTCATGAAGACCATCATGTGAGGTTAAGGAACAACTTAATCTACAGCTGTAGAGCATTATCGGGTATGGACAGCAAATCACTGGCCTTGACAGTCCCATGGTCCAAAAGAAGTATCTTTGTGAGGATTCTCGTCAGCTGTTCAGGGGTGCTGTTGAAAATAACACCAATCCAGGCACTAAAACCTAAGGCGACTAGCACAGAAGTACAGGGTCCTACCTGTTTATTACACTCCAAGGAGACCATTACCTCTAAATGAGGGCAAGCCATCCCCCATCATATGACAGTTTGCCAGTTTCCCTACCTCACCATTGGAGTTAATCTAATTGTTGTACTTAAGTTTCATGAAACTGCCTTGGTCTCAGATTCAATAACAGGAGTCATTTTGTCTCCGAAGAAAACATTACTAAAAGATGTCTACACTATGTTCCTATAAAAACAGACAGTGCAGGAAATGGGAAGTTCTTTCCTGTTAAACATATGGGTATGGCATTCTTAGAACTCTTGAATTATTCAACCCACTGGACATCAGTGGAGAGTTTAAAACCAGAGATATTGGCAGTATCAGAGGAACAGTTCTCAAATCAGCATTGCCTATTATATTGCTCCATTTAGGCCAAACACGTTTTGATCACCAAAAAGTTGTCCCAATGCTTCAACTGGACGTTTGTGCACATTAAAGACAGACGCCAATGCTGTTGACATGCGTCAAGCAAAGTGTGCCTCAGGCCTGCGTTAGAAAAAGCTATCCTGTTGTTTTCCCTTGTCAGTATGGATCATATTCTTTGATACAAAGGGGCTTACAATGTAGTTCACCATAAAGTTCTTTAGGTTTAGGTATGACTCCTGTGTAGTTATGTTGACTAGACAGAAGACTGGTAAGGAAAGTCTACAACCGTACCCCCTTGGATCACAATATATGATGAATCACAGAATACTGTGTAATGAGTCTCTTGTACAGTGGCATATGTAATACAGAGAGTGGCTTGGCTTTATTTGCTGTAATAACTGAGAAAAAGTAGATGTTTTAAAGCAAGAAAGTACACCTTAAAATGTCATCTGTGCAGCCAAATCATCAGCATTGTGGTTGCCACTCCTAATATATTGTTTTAGTCGTTCTGAGTGTCAGGACCCTGCATAAGGGTGGTTACCACTGCCAGGTTTACTAAGTGAGAGCCGCCTCATTGTGGACTATTGCTAGGGGATTTTGCTTTATTTTTTGTAGCGGCTGGAAGTTACTGTGTTTTTTAGGTATTTGGATAAACACTGCTGGTACAAGAATATAAAACTGAATATATTTGATTGCATCGAATGATTATGACTAGAAGTACACAGACAAATAAAAGGTGATGCAACACTCCACATGGCCCCCCACCTCTATGAATGATGAATCTGACATTGCTTTACAGCACACCCCAAACACTCCTCTGGGAGACTCCACTGACTCCACAGGTGTACTAAAATAATCTAACCAGACACAAGAAAATGTATTGTTGCCATGAGTTTTTCCCAAAACCGAAACAAGGTCTATAGTTGTCTGTTATAATTTCTGACTGTCCTTTATTGCTTTTTCCCCCCCTGTCAGTCATTCATAGTTGGATAATCCAAGTCCGGAAAGTAAAAAGCCTGTATAGAAACTGAGTCCATTTACATTTCCAGATCCACACTACAAACTTGAGGGCTAATCAGCTGTTTAATAGAACAGGATCAAGGAAAACTAGGCATGTTTATTACCCTCTGACCTGGATCATCCGCCTATGCTATCTTTGTACCTTTGCCCTCTTCTTGCCTAATAGATCACAAAAATATTTGTATGTGAGTTTGAATGGGACTTTTACATGGGATAGATGTATATCCAAAAACTGCACCCTCAGTCTGCTTTAGGTCTGAGATATTGCATTACAGGTACTGAGTATTTACGTTTGCATGTCATCCCAGTATAGTCCATGTTTCAATAATCATGGACGCAATTCTGGCTGCAGTTGGCTAATGGATCAGCTTTGTGCACCCTGTCAGGTTTGCATGTGTTTTTATACACCCCATTTTTTTCTTTTGTAAATCATGGTCTTAATGTGTCTGGAAACATTAATAAAAAGTTTCCTAAATTAGCTTCCCTTATTTTAGTGGTTGGTTTCTACTTTTTGCTGGGCAGTCTCTTTGATGGTTCATTGCCGAGTTTCATTTTTTACTTTGAAACTATGAATGTCTGCTGTAAAGTTCTTTTGATCCTAGGAAGCTCATTGACTTAATATCATTTTTTAACTTTATTTTTACAATTTTTTTTTTTGTTATTTGTTTATTTTCTTAACTCACTGTCCCTTATTCTGTTATTTTTATAGACTTTCCTAAGGTCCACATTTGGGTGACGACTTTTGTTATAACCTTTGGCTGCTGCTGTAACATCACAATTTCCCCCATTGTGGGACAATAAAGGGAATTTCTATTCTATTCTATTCTTTTCTATTTCTATTTGCCTGGGTTATACTCTACTTTTGGTTAGGATAGTTTGCTTATATAGGCACTTTCTATTCACTTGGAGTCTCTGGTATTCTAAAATTATAATTTTGTGTAAACAAAAGTGGCTGAATTGTAGCAGTTAAAGTGCATTTCTGGAACGGGTGCAAAAAAAAAAGTTCTCTCTCTGTTTGTTTGAAAGAAAATATTTTAGGATGATTACAATAGACATGTTTCGAGTAAATTGATAAAATCAGAAAACATTTGGGGTTGACTTTTTTTAATTATGATCGTCTTTTTGCACCGTCCCAAAAGCCCGAGCAATTGCCTACAGTTCATCAAGTTGCTGTTCAGATGGAGGAGTGACAGGCAAGACTAGTAATCATGCAGATGAAAAGAGAATCCCCACTGGTCTAGACTACGTTCGCAGGACTGTTCTGGTCGAGGTAACAGAGGAAACTTTAGTTTTAAAATGTTATTGTCAATTAATTCTATGTATATCTAAATTTTAATTGTAAACTGTATGTCTTTCTTTTTCTTTGACTAATAATCTGCTTGTAGCCGGAAGGGCTATCAAGAGAGTACACCTACAGTGTTTTCTTCTGTCCAAATGGTAAGAGCAAATATGATTCAATTATCATTACTAAGAAAAAAAATGTTCAAGGAATAAATGCATGATAGTTCCTCTAAAAATATTAATTATTTTCTTGAAATATAATTATTAAGAATTCAAAATGCATGTTCAAAGTTCTCTAAGGTAAAAATCTGTTTTGTATTTTGACTTGTAGAGAGAATTCACATTTCAACCCCTAATAAGTACGAGTATCAGTATGTCAAAAAGCCATCCAAGATGAAGCAGTTTGATGTGGCTGTGAAGACCCACAATGATGCCCACATTGCCCTCTCTGCCAGTCCACATGACAGTGCAGAGATGCTTGAGATTGTACTTGGTGGGAAGCAGAATACACGCTCCTGGATATCTTTAGGAAAAATGGGGGACCCCCTGGTCAGCGTTTCCACACCAGGGCTGCTGTCCTGGAATGAGTTCCGAAGTTTTTGGATCAGTTGGAAAGGAGGTGTGGTAAAGGTAGGAGAAGCAATATGTCTTTATATTATTTATGGAGAAATGAGAACAATGTGGTGTGACACCATAAATGTTTGTCTGGTAATAACAATATATGGTTCTTTTTCCCTAGCTCCGATATTAGCTTGTCATTCAGCAAAGGTCCTAATTAAAATTCTTCCATATTTATCTTCTTTGAAAATAGCATAATTTTAGGGTGCAATTACTGTTGCATGTGTTTTGGTTCTATAGGATAATGAAATTACATTTTGTGATTTATAGCCTTCCTTATGCTATCAAATATCTATGTTACTCCTAGTGGTATCACCGAAGGTTTGTAATAATCCCTTTAATTATCATTTGTAATCAGGATTATTCTTAAGCAGATCTCTTGTACTGTAAAGTCTTTTTGACTGATAAGAAGTTTTGCTAAATACTCAAAGCAGTATCAATAAATGTTTTACTTTAATTTTACTGCATTGTTTCATCTCTAGGTGGGGCATGGTTTGCATTCATCCAACGAATCTATCATTTTAGAGTGGGCAGGCCAGTTCCCAGGACAGGTTTGACTTTTTTTGGGGATTATTTTGAAATTGTTGTTATTTTGTGCTTGTGGAAATTCTCAAATATGTTTATGTTTTTTTTTATTCCTTCTACTGTAGGTGCAACACATTGGGTTCTCAACTGGGTGGGGCTCTGTAGGAGAGTTTAAAATCTGGAGGAAGGAAGACTCTGATGACGACCACAATGAGGCCTTCACTCTTGGTGTGCCGAGCAATATGGTGCCTGGATCGGAAAGGGCCACTGCATATATGATCGGTATGTTAGTTAATAGTTGGAGGCCTTTCAAAAGTATTCACACACCTAAAAAAATGGTCACAATTTTACTGTTTTTTGTTAGGATTGCATTGCTTAAATTGAGAGCTTCCTTCCACATGTGGATGGTAAAGGGCTTTTAAACATTCTCAGAAATCCAGACATTTAAATTCAGCCACATGTCTAGGTTGTTTTGTTTTTTTATTTAAGGGTTTCAGACAGTATGGCGGCCTGAATGGAAATTACCTCGACAGTTTTTGAATAATTTTTAAAACATTGTTTAATTTCTATTTCACCTATGTGATGCACTGGTTTGTAAGTCTCAGCACGCACAAAACACACCCCAAAAACATGGGCTGTGAATACTTTTGCAAGGGGCATTGCTTATTACAATATCTTGGGACCTCTTAATTATACTGGTTCTGAAATACGGCTCTTTTCCTATTGTAAGAAACAACAACCTATTTGTATGCATGTCTGTATTCCTATAACAGGGGATGTAATGGGACCAACTCTAAACAACCTGGATAAGCTGCTGAGGCTACCCTTTGGGTGTGGAGAGCAGAACATGATTCACTTTGCACCAAATGTCTTTGTTCTGAAATACCTTCAGAAGACCGGGCAGCTGAGTCCAGAGGTTGAAACTGAAGCCACCGACTATCTGATTCAAGGTAAAGAACAGGGGGCAAGGCTTCAACTGTTAGACTGTATTTTTATAGCAAAACAGCAATTTTAGCTCCCTTTTACACTTTTCAAATACTTTTTTAAATCAGGCTGGTAAGAACCTCTTTAAAACTACGAAACAAAAAATTTATTTACAGGTAATTTTTACAGGTAAGTAAGTCGTTTTCCGTCCTACGCTGTGAGTTATTGCTAATTGAAAGGAATTGCAAGCTAGTTGTATATTACAGGTTTTTAAAAATGTGGAATATAGTGAAAAGGATCAGTATTTTTAGTAATAATTTTAAAAATGTGAAGCCTCTATATCAAGGTGCTTTTCTCTCTGCTTCAGCATACTTTAGTCAAAAATCAAGTCTTTTAATCATTTCATAGAGACACATTTCTAGGTGTCATTTCCTGTCATGACGTTGATTATTACAGTCACACTGTTGGCTCTGCTGTACCTTAATATCCGCAGCAGCAGAAGGCAAAGGGAAAAGCTTTAACTTCCCTCTATACCCTTCAACTCAATTGCCAAATGAAATAGAGACTTTAATTAAAAAAAAGATTTTAGACCGCTGAGCATAAAATTTCTTATTTTTTTACTTTAGTCTAGGTAAGATGCTTCTAACAACATCTGCAGTTCAAGATTACAAAAGGAATGCAATACTTCTAGTCTACATGTTGAAATTTTCTGTTCTTAATGGCTCTTGATGTTTCCACTATATCCTCTAGCCACTCTTTGTGAAGCTGCATCTAATGAATGGATATTGCTGATGCCCCATTGCCTCCCAAGCTTTTTTCCTTCCAGTCAATACTCTATAACTAGGATTGGGTACAACACTCTCTAGACAAGCAAGGATTTCTTGCGGCTTAACCTTCTTAGGGAGGATGCAAAGGACTCTTTCTGCAATACATCATTATCACAGTATCAGTGCAAGCTATTTCCTTATTACATAGCTCTGTTCGGAGTGCAGAAACACTTGGCAATTGTATTCTGAGAAACAAATATTTAGCCAGTCGGATAGTCCTGAGGTGTCAGAGGCTGACATCAGACATTGATGACTAATCAGCAGTTTGATTGTGTGTAACCTTCCTGTCCAAAATGAAAGACCTTTTATAGATGTTGAGTTATTTACTCTGGATTTTCAGGATTTGACACCATAAGTCAATATTCAACTTTTTCGCAATATTCTAAGACAAAGGATGTTGGATATTCATTTTCTGTAGGTGAGACTCATAATAAGAAATCAAAGTGTAATGTAGGTGTAATTAATAAAAAGTTCTACTAGATTTACTTTGAATTAGTCTTTTTTCCTGCTTCACAAAGGTAGGCAACAGCTTGACAAAGCCATGATGGCAACTATGTTACATCCAAGTAGTATGCAGTTGTTAATATATACACACACAAACCAATTTCAAACAGATGGTATTGATGTGGTATCGGTATCTGCCAATACTGCCTAGCCAGGTATCGAGTATCGGTATCAGGGCCAAAAAATGGCATCGGGGCAATACTAGTATTTATTCTCATTTTAATATTGTTGAGCAGCATGAAAGTCATTTTGGATTGCATTTCCTTCTTCTGTTTTAACCACAGTTCTTTACAGTAAATCTGCTTTCGGTTGTCATACAGGTTACCAGAGACAGCTGACCTATAAACGACAGGATGGATCCTATAGTGCATTTGGCGAGAGGGATTCCTCAGGCAGTATGTGGTGAGTGATTACACACTTCATAACATTTCAGGTATGTTTAACAGCAACAGAGCTGTTCAGCTTTTCCCAGGATACAGGTATCCCAGAAGATAGAAGAAATTTTAATACATTTATTTTTTTCAACTTGATGGAAATGGATATTCATGTATTGTTTTTCATGTAGAATTTATTATTCAGTAATTTTCCTTGTGTGAATGAAATAGTTTTCTATGTTGAAACAGCCAGTTAACTTTTTAGCAGAAATGTACCCCTGCAGGGTGAAGCTGCTGTGCTTCTAATTTAAGGTGTCGTTCTTATTGTGCATTCCTCCTGTTGATTTATGAGGTCAGGTGGGTACCGTGATGTTTAATAGAGCTGAGACTGTAAAACAGCAGGTTTTATAAATGACAGATGATTTAAAGAAAACATTATGATTGGCTCCCTGAGGCAAGTAGAATTTATTCTCACTTATGTGCATCAAATTTTACCCATGTGGTTTGACCCTGCAATCTCTAAATACCACAGTTGGAGTCAGTATCTTTGTGCCTTTACTTTATTAATGTTTGGAGAGTACATTTTATGATTTTTTTCCTAATGGCTCATTATGCTCTGTGTAATTGTGGAAGTTAAACTGTTGCGGTAGAATTTTATTATTCTTAATGAGAACAAGAGCATGTTAAGGATGTGACAAACAGTAGTTTGTGGTTTTCTTTTGTTGCTCGGGGCAACAACTGTGGTTTTGTGGGCACTACATGAATGGTGAAGTATGAGTAATTCTGCAACAGGCACTTTATAAATCAATCGGCAACACATTAACCTCCAAATGAAGCCGGGCTTTTGTAGTTGTTCCAGAGTTCCTGTGTGGAGCAGGCCTTAATTGTCCGCTGTAATGTTGTGTTAATGTGTCCCAACATTTAAAAAACATTTCACAAGGGAAATTGATGGAATATAGTAATTCAGAATAAATGACAGCAGCTGGTAGCAACTTCCATACCAGGGCTTTTAGAAGTTCACAAACTAATCCTAAAACTAAATGACTGGCAGTAGAAGAACTCTTAAAATAGAGGAAAGAGCTCTGTTTTGTTTTTGTATCATAATTGTAAGGATTATCTATCTATCTATCTATCTGTCTGTCTGTCTGTCTGTCTGTCTGTCTGTCTGTCTGTCTGAAAGATTTCACTTCGATGGTTGCTGTATTAGGGCTGTTCAGTGGTGCAGTGGGTAGCACTGTTGCCTTAAAGCAAGAGAGTTGCAGATTCGATTCCCGGCACAGGGTCTCTCTGCATGGAGTTTGCATGTTCTACCTGTGCATCGTGGGTTCTCTCCGGATACTCCGGATTCCTCCCACAGTCCAAAAACATGACTGGTCGGTTAATTGGCTTCTCTAAATTTTCCTTAGGTGTCAGTGTGTGGGAGAATGGTTGTTTGTCCTGTTTGTCTCTGTGTTGCAATGTGATTGGACTGGCGAGCTGTCCTGGGCGTACCGTCTCAAAAGTTTAACACCAAAAAAGGGGGCTATCTACTTTTGCTAAAATATTATTTCATGGCGTTTTGATAAAGGCACTCGAATGGATGTATTTTGAGGTAATGCCTCAAGGAACAGCTTTTTTTGGAAATCATGAGTGAATTTCAACTGCAATCAACTAAGATTTCACAAAGAGAATTAAGGACCTCACCCTGTTTTTTTTTTATCCCTGAATGCAATTTCCAAATGACAGAGGTGTACATAACCCAAGTACATTTAGTCTGTTACAGTATTCAAGTAAATCTTTTGAACATCTGTACTTTACTGTTTTTTTAAACTGAGACTTTAACTTTTATTTCGTTGCATTAGAAATATAAAAATTGTACTTTACTTCTTTACTTGAAGTCTGAGGCATGGTTACTTGTTGCAAATTAAAATATGACCATCATTTATCATTAAAGAATTTGTTTATGTGGAATTAACATATTAAATAGGAGAACTTTGCCCTTTTTGTCCACATTGGGCTGGTTGGTGGTGATAATGCAACACATTATTGTTTGCAAAAAATGTTTGCAGTATGTCTATTTAAAAACAAATACCATTTTCCTTTATTCCTCTAGGGGAAAGAGGAAGTTGTTTATAGTGCTACATTTCACCCTACTTATTGCCCCAAAAGCTGATAAACCCGAGTCACTGCTAAACTATTTTGCAACTTTGGAGGTAAAATCTAGATAAACTTCTTTTGTGTTGATTGACACAATGCACTTTAGTTTTCTTTTCTTTTTTTGAGTGGACAAAGATGTTTTTATTCTTAGAGAGCGCTCTTTTAGTTTTCTCAGGGAGACAGCAGAGTTGTGGATGCATGTCATTCTACACTATGGCTTTTGTGTTTCTATGGACAGCACAGTTTGAACATCATGTTTTTTTAGGGTTAAAGCAGGTTTTCAACAAATTCTACCTCAACTGTTTTTAGTGAAGTAAAGTGACTACATTTTTTGCTGCTTCTTGTTATGTAGTACAAATATACTTAGAACGTTTATCTTAGCAAATATTTTTAACAATTCTCTCAATTTTTCTTGAGTAGCTTTTTAGTAGTGACTTTTACTTTTACCAGGGTAAAAGATATTCTTATGTTAAGATATTTTTACTATTACTATTACTTTTTTTTTGTTATTTTGAGTAGTGTATTTATACATCGCTGCAGGAATATGAAATGTCCTTTTTGTCAAACAATTATATGCAAGTATAAAGCCACTATACTTTGTCATTATCCGCAGCAAGCCAAACCATGTACTGACAAGAAAGTCCACTAAAAGAGAAGAAAGTTTCTTAGAGAAACAAACTGGGAAAAAAAATTACTTTTGTGAAATACACTTTGACTCCTGTGGTCCTGAAAAGATTTATCTGTTTTACTATGATGACCTTTGATATATTTGGAGAAGCAAATCAGCAGCCATGATAATATTCATACTGTAAGGGTATTTTGCTGCAGGACTAAGTTTTGCACTTTACAAAATAGATCAAAATACTGATACTGTATGTCGAAAGATTGCTTTAAGTTAAAGTTCGGATACAAATTAGTCTTTCAAATGGAAAATGACATCAAGCAATGACAATGACATAAGGTTGCTAAATACCAACTGTTTACTCTACTGCTTAGTTCACAATCTGTTTGGTAAATCAAGTATTTCCAGAAATTGTCATCCAGAGAGAGTCTTGAAGGTTTTAAGTCCAAATTAGAACTTTCAAAATAAAAGCTCATCCAATTTGCCTTTATCATAAAGCCTCTTTTCAAAAGAGGGCAAAGCTGTAGAAGACCAATTTGCTAGTAGCAAAGAAGAAAATAGTAGAATAGAAAGGGGATGGGGAAAATCAGGTACTCAACCTGGGGGGTTAAGTAGTGGAAGTCAGCTTCCTTTGTGGTTCCTTCCTTTCCCAAACCACTTCGCATTTGCACTTTCCAGAACTTTTCCCTGAGGGTGGAATTTTAAAGCCTGAGCACCAGTGCTGTGGCATCAGTTTTGTCTCATGAGTGGAATAATCTACTTCCATTCAGGAAAGGTTTTATGTTTTGGTTTATGAGAGTACGTACCATTCTTTTTTCCTACTTATTCCCATGTTGCTATTTTCTCGGACTATGACCTCACTTATGGGCTGCGTTAGGAAAGTAATGTGTGATCTGTTTGTGTTTCCCTTCCTTTCCATCTCATTTGTCTTTCTTTGCTTAGTAAACAGCTTACCTCACCTAAAGCTAACCAACTCTGGTCAGGGTTGCTGTAATGGAAGACTTGCTGTCACATCAGTTATTGGCCAAAGAAAGCAGCTTCCACTCACGACCAGGAGGTCTGTTGTTTATGTGTATTCATGAGCTCGGTCATGTACCCACGACTGACCTTGGCTGTCCTTCACTGACTCTTCTCAACTGTAGCCCACTAAAACCGTGGCTCATAAACTTTCATTAGCACACCTGGGCTGACTTTAAGCCTAGGGTCGGTGTTTTTGTAAGTTCAGGGATGATTTTTTTTTTGTGTGCAAATATTTTACTCCGTATCATAAACTTTCCCTATTGTCTCATGTTAAGTTTCACATTCTCAAGAGCCCAGCTGTCGCATCCGGTTGCAGTGATCAAACTGTGCTGCGCCCATCTGCTGTTCTGCTCCCCTCGTCATTCCTTTTTTCTTTGTTCCTTTTCATCATATTATCTATACATTCCTTTCCTCTGATGACGAATTGAAAACGTGTGGCTTGTTAAAAACATTGCTAAATCCAGTTGTTGTCTTGCAAAGGGTGATACTTGATTACAGATGTTTATTTGGACATGCTTTAAAGTACCCTTAAGGGTTTTCATTTTTCTTCCTCCTACCTGAACTTTCAACCCCATCCATCTTTCCTCTAGGTTAACAGCGTTTGTTCTGAAGTCTTTTGCTCAGTCTCGGGGGTTTATCTTTATTGACCCTGAAGAGCTTCATGCAGCTAAGTCTTGGCTCATCAAACATCAGCGAGAGGATGGTTCCTTTCCTGCAATGGGACGCATTCTCAACAAAGACCTACAGGTAGGTCTATGTTTGATTGTGTTTAAAGCACTTTTGCCTTCTCTACCTGACCTGACTGGCCTGATGTGCTCTCTTCATCCTCTGACGTGGGGGCGGGCTCAGAGTTTGTCTGCCTGGCTGTGTGTTTCCTGGACGGGATCGCCTGTGGAGCTGCCTGACATTTGCCTTTTTGTATCTCTGCTTCTTTCTTTATGTCTGCTTCTGTCTCCTTGAACCCCAGTCGGCCTCAGCAGATGGCCGCTCACACTGAGCCTGTTTTCTGCTGGAGGTTTCTTCCTGTTAAAAGGGAAATTTTCCTCTCTACTGTCGCTACAAGGAAGCTTGGTGTGAGGGATTGCCTTCGAGTCAATGAGTCGATGCAATAAACTGGTTTCCCTGAGATAGAAAACTTTGAACCAATTTGACTGTATGAATGGTTGAATTGTATAGCTCCTAGAGATGATGTGTTTTGAATTGGCACTATAAAAATAAACTGAATTTAATTTAATTGAACAGCCATCTGGTAGTATTGTCCTACAAACCTTGGCTAGTCTCTGGCTTTGGACAGGGTGAGGTAACCTTGTGTCCTCTTGTTGAGCTGTCCATTTGGGTTGCCACTGATGTGTGCAACTTAGGCTCACTCCAAACAATGGGGCAACTTAGGTTTGAAGAAACAACAGCTTAAAGTCACCCAATGACAGGAGTCGCACTAACATGATTCATCAATGGTATGATTGAAGCTCCAGCCATCTGACTGCTCTAGCATAGCCTATGCTAACTGTTCCTGTTAATAAGGCACCAGATTCTCCTGACTTAGTGTAACAGAAGCTTAAATAAAGATACAAATAAGCTGTTTGGCAGGCTCTTATGGGCTCAACTCTGCTGCTTAAACCACAAATTCAGTTTCTTTACAAATGTGGCAAATTAACTAACTAAAGAAAAAAAACAT